GCGATGCGCAACGGAGTGCACGGACACAGTGCACAGTCCACGGACTATAGCACTCGATGATAGGATTTTTATAACATTAAATTTTTGTGTATCTAATAAAGGTAATATCTTCAAAAGGACCTTTTTAGCAATGGTTTGTATTAGTAAACTGATAATAATTTAAACAAAAGATTAGAAATTTAAAATCCAAGTAAAATTTATAATTAAAATATTTCTTTATAATTCATAAAACTACCAGAATATCACATTTGTGTTTTTATTTTCCATATACTTGTTACATTTTTCCGGGTATGTGTGAATAATAATTGAATCTTATTTTTTCTTATTAAAAGTTGGCAATATAATTGTCAAAAACAAATTAAACTACGAACTAATTTTCTCTCAAAGTTGAAATTCAAGACATTAGGGGTTATTCATACTTTTCTATTTGTTGCTATTCCAATTTACCTATTTATAATTTATCAAAATTCATTTTTTTTTTGTTTAAATATTTTTTTTCAATTCAAAAAGGAGAAACATTAATTAGATCCAAAAGTTTTTATAATAATAATTTTTAAATACGTTTTGCAGCATATTTTGTTACCAAACCTAATTTTATTTGGTGAGTTACTACTTTTTTACAATTATTCGTTTCACTATTAAGATAATCGACTCGGACCATTACCTCGTTAAAGTCACATGTGGGAGGACGCCGGAAGAAAAAGAGAAATCGAAAAATAAAACGAAAAGAAAGTACAATATTGAACAACTTAAGGAAGTAGAAATAAAAAATAAATATGAAGAAGAAATAAATAAAATTCTACAACAATGTGATCAAAATTTACAGCAGATCAAGCCTGGGAACAAATTAAATATACCGTAGGAGAAGTTAGCGAGAAAATAGTTAAGTGCGACTCCAAGAGAAGTACAAACAAAGATTGGTTTGATGAAGAGTGTCAGGCGATAGCAAAGGAAAATAAAAAGATCAGACTTTAAATATTAACAGATAATAAAGAGTGTAAAAAACAAGAATATAGAATAATTCGAGAAAGATTGAAAGTTCCGTGTAGAAGGAAAAAGAGATACCACAATGAGTTGAAATTAAAAGAGATAGAAGAGAAGTTTAAAAATAAAGAGGTGAGAAGTTCTATCTAATCGTTCTATCAAGAAGTTAAAAAAATGGGAAAAGGTTACCAAAGCCACTGTAGTTATATGAAAGGTAACGACGGAAATTTAATTAGCGATCCGGCAGAAATAATAACGGAATGGAAAAAATATTTTGAAGAATTATTAAATGGTGAGGTGGACCACGAAGCAGTAGACAACTGGACGGTTGGAGAAAATGCGATAGCTGAAAGGCAGCCCACAGAGGAGGAGGTGGTGACAGCAATACCAGAAATGAAAAATAACAGAAGTCCTGGTAAAATGACATGCTATGATATGCATAGAAATGATCAAGTTTGGTGGAGAACAACTACAAAGAAAAATATATCAGCTACTAGTGCAAGTATGGGAAAAGGAAATAATGCTATCGGAGTGGTATGGGGCTCACATATGCCCTCTGCATAAAAAAGGAGACAAACTGAAGTGTGACAGTTATAGAGGTATTAGACACGGTATACTAAATCTTGGCAAGAATATTGAGAAATAAACTAAATTGCTACACGGAAAGAATCCTGCATAAATATCAGCTTTATATACCGGCTTTAGAAAGGACAGATCTACTGTAGACCAAATCTTCTCATTAAAGGAGATACAAACGATTTTTTATGAAGATAAAGTTCCCCTGCATGTTTTGTTTGTGGATTTTAGCCAAGCATATGATAGAATCGATAGAGTCAAAATGTATCGAGCAAAGGAACATTTGGGTATACCAAAAAACCTGATCCGGCTAGTTAAAATTACACTAAATAACTCTACGTATGAAATTGCTTGGCAGGGTCACATATCAGATCAATTTACGGTTGCAAAAGGTTTGAGACAGGGAGATCCTTTATCCACTACATTATTCAACTTAGTGTTAGAAACTGTAATCAGAAAATGCAGCATGAAGGTGGAAGAAACGATCATGAAAAATGAGCACCAGTGCTTGGCATTTGCTGAAGATCTAACGATCCTATACTACGTTCCACGTTTAGAAAATAACATTGCGGAGATAGGGCCATGTATTTCTTATATAAGCACAATTTAGGGTTGTATAATTTGTATTTTTGTTTCCACAAACATGAATTAAATTAATGTTTTTTAACGTAATTGACCAAAAGTGCCTATTCGAAACAAGAGATGAAAAGTAGGGAAAATTATTTTAATTAGATAAATAGTATTTACAAAAGATAATTTTATTTTATCTTATTTTAATTATAGTAACGACAGTTTATTTGTTTTTCGGTGAGAATACGATATGCCATGAATCATAGAAATCAGTAGAAAATATTGACCGCTTGGAATGCGTATATCTAATTACTAATTGCAACTTAAAATAATACGATGTGCGTATGTCAGCTATTTTATGTCGTTCTCTGACTACATAATGATAATAAGGCTTTTATTTAGTAGTTATTCTGACTTTACAGTTAAGTGTTAATTGAAAATGAAAATTCAAAAATTAAGCAAAGGGAATATCTTGGACATCCGTGGAAAAGAGAGTGTCTGAGAGTTTTGGCAACACTGATCTCCATAAGCGTAATGTTATTTTCTTAACTTGAAACAAAGAATAGCAAAAACCGAGAAAGAATTAAGAAGAGTTGTGAAGAAAATCATCGTAGAAGCACAGAAATTTGGATTGGAACTAAATGAAGACAAAACCAAATATATGATCATGGGTGGGACAAAAGGGAAAAAAGAAGACTTTAGTGTGAGGTCTGTAAGTGGTAAAAACTATAGTTTTAAAAGGGTGAACAAATTTGAATAACTGGGTGTAGTTTTTGATGAAAATGGAAAAGAGAAATGGAAGCTCGAAGCCAGAATAGCAAAAGGGAATAAAAAATTAGGTAGGTAGTTGAAGAGCCAAAATATATAAAACAGTAATTCGACCCACAGTAACATATGCCGGTGGGTCATGGACATTAAATAAAAAGGAAGAGGATACTCTGGAAAGATGGGAAAGGAAAATATTAAGACGCATATTTGGAGAACGGAAGACAAAAGATGGTTGGGAGAGAAGAACCAACAATGAATTAATGGCTCTATACAAAGAACCTACTATTACCAAGTTCGTCAAGGCACAAAGAATCAGATGGTTGGGACATGTGGAAAAAATGGCAGGTAACAGAATGCCTAAACTAGTAATAACCAGAAAATTAATCGGCCCCAAAAGAAGAGATAGACCCAGAACAAGGTAGATTAGTAAAATGGAGGAAGATCTTAAACACGTGATGGTGAGGGACTGGAAAAGAAAAGCACAAAATAGAAGCGAATTAAGAATCTTCAGAGTAGTTAAGAATGTTGTATGTACATATTTAAGTTAAAGTTTTGTTTAAAATAATAAAGGATTATGTTGTAAAACAAGTGCCCTAAGCCTTAACGGCCTGTTATGCGTAAATAAAAAATACTAGTTTAGATATACATATAGAGAATACTCTTAAAAGAAAGTTTAGTTATTGAAAAAAAAAGAATCAATTAGCGAATAAATTTTTTTAATCGATTATTATAATGATATCTGTACGAAAAGGCACAACGAAATTTCGCGGTGTCATTATAAAAAAGTACACGCTACGAATAATTAAAATATAATACATATTATTTTATAAATTTTTCAAAGCCTTTAATTTTTTTATAAAAATCTCGTACTATGCCTACAATATTTTATTTTTAAATACTATTCACAACATACATTTGTCATTTTAACAATAATATTTTTGTTAATTAATATAACTAACTGATTGACATTAATTAGAAATATCGATATTTGTATAGCAAATCACATGATGAAAACGCCTATGAAAAACTTGTGTTGATCCCATTGGAGCAACGGCCTGTTGAACCCATATCAGTGATGATCCCGTCAGACCAACGTGAACGTTCTTCTTTGAAGGAGTAAGAGGAATACAGAAAGGATAACAAAGAGGTACTAAAAATGAAAGTCACCATAGATTATTTTAGCAGCAAATTGCCTTTTATTGAGTATTCAATATTACATATTATTAAAAATATGATAAAATTGTGTATAAACATATAATTTGTGCTTACAAAAATGTACCTTTAAAGCGATTCAATGCCAAAAACAAGCTTTAACAAATCATTTTAACAAATTATTATTTAATGGGTAATAAGTCATGTTTTGTCTTTATTTTATTTAATAATTTTTTTCTTCGACTTTACCTAATTCTTGTATAAATATTATAAGACGGATTTTTTTCTCTACATACTCTGTTTATTAACAATTAATATTGATAAATATACACTTATAATAATGTGTATTATCAGAATCAATCAGATAAATCTTATATTTAAAGAACAAAGACATTTGATTAACGAAAAGTATTGTAGCTATAGAAGGTATTCAGTAAAATAAACTTATACATGGATATATTATTTGTTTTTCGTGTCTCTTTGCATATTCTCTTCGATTTATCAGTTTTTTTGCCAGAACAATAAATTTAAATTTTAGGATTTCTCATTCTTCTGTGCTCTATTTCGTTAGTATTTTATTTTATTTATTTCATTTGCCTCACTTATAACTGGTAGATCATATTAAATAACTAAAATATAAATATGTATATGAATAAATACCTATTTTTTTTACATTTTCAATTTTTTCCACGTCTTTTTCATTAATTCCTTTTTTACCAAAAGAATAATGAACATTAATGATCTTGTTCTTATGGTATTGCTATTGTAACGCAGGCCAAGCTGTGATATAAATGCGACATTTCAGAAGTTTTAGAATTTTTATGAAAAGGATTATGGCTTGTTGGTATTCGTCTTTTATTTCAAGCTCAAATTTCCAAATTTCGTTTAGAAGACAAAAAGTGTTTACAACTGCTTGACATGTTTTATTTTTTTTTCATAATTTTTATTTTGCTTAAAATGTGAATGCCATCTAGAAAATATTTAAAGACACAAAGAAGATATTTTAAAAGATATTGGATTTATTTTCTTGCAATCAATATCTAGCTTGACTACTGTTTAGTGATAGGTTATATTCTTCACTTACTTCTATTACTGTGTTAACACGTATTTGTAGATATTATGTTTTAACTATGAGTACTGTGAAACTATGTATGTACTTGTGTAGGAAAGACGGCTTTCAGAAAAAAAAAATATTGTAGTGGTAACCGTGTCTAATTAGCACTTCCTGAAGTCACCGAGAGAAATTGTTTATTATGATTCTATGCATGATATGTACCATCGTTCTACTGTTAACTATTTTTTCTTTTAAATATTTATTACGATTTTTTTTGTATGCTCTTTAGTGACTACGTGATCTGATTACAGTCTTATATGGTGTTTTTTATTCTTTACTTATTTTTTAAAATCTTCAGAATTATTTTACGAAAAGCTCCTTCAATATTGCTAAATATTCTGCCATATGTTGCGATCTTGAAAGCAGACACTCAATCCATCGACTACTGTGGGTGAGTCAGTTATAAGATATATTCTATACTTCTGTTATTTGCTCACTTAGAAATGTTCTTTATTTGATTTGATGATCTACTAATTATTTCTACAGCGGATGTTAGCTACAGTATAGGCCATCATTAGCTTATTAACATATACACGGAACGGTTGTTTGTGCATGCCACCTTCTTGAGATTCTAAACCATGACGTTCTTCTTCTTCCCGAACCTCTTCCTAATATTTTTCTAGCATAATTAGCTGTTTTAATGGTTTTTACGATTTCTTTACAGTTTTGTATTTTAACTAATTTAATTCTCTCTTTTGTAGCAATACAGCTCTTAAGTTTCAAGTTAGGCCTTGGACCTAATTTAATATCGCATTTGCATTTCTCATAGTAATAGGGACTATACATTGCATTTTGAATATAATCTTCTTCTCGATTTTCTGCAATATGGAATAATTGTCCTGCATTTGGTATCTGAGTCCATTCACGAATGTTTTTTAACCAAAAAACTTGTTTTCTTCCTACACCTCCACGGCCCTTTATTTTGCCTTTAAGGATCAGTTGTAATATTTTATATCGACTTCCCCTTACTATATGTCCCAGATGACACTTTTCGATGTTTAACAGTCTTTAGCAGTTCTCTATCTTTGTTGACGCTCCTTAAGACTTCTTTATTAGTTTTTCTTGCTGTCCAAGGTCTATGAACCCACTGTCTATGAACCCACATTTCCAATGCTTCAATTTTGTTCATGATCGATACTTTTGGCGTCCACACTTCTGCACTATACAAAAGTATGGACCAAACATAGCACTTAACCATTCTTTGCCTTAGTTCTAAACTGAGATGGTTATTGCAAAGAAATGACTTCAAATGATTTCACCGATTGATTCTTACACACTATAAAATATCAAGCCAATGCAGGGTTAAAATTATTAGAGCAACCGGTTAGTCGGATATATATCACATTTTAAATATTGGAATGTTCAATATATTATTTTAATAATACTATATCTTTATACAAGTTGTTTTGCCTTGGTATATAACCGGTGATATAATATTATAACTGTGTTGTTTTACACCTAAAGATGCACAGACCATAAATATGCAAATAGCCATAGATGAATTAATAAATTATCAGAAATTTATGTTCATCACATGCACAGGCACGTGACTATACACAACACTAAAAAATACGTGACTATTCATAAAAAGATAATTGGTCGGATTTAACAAAAAACTTGTGAAATAAAAAAGCGTATATTAAATGATTAAAAATAACAGATTACTCATCATAATCGATATATATATATATATATATATATATATATATATATATATATATATATATATATGTAATAAAAAATAAATAAACACAAAAACATCAACCCTACAACCGGAAAAATTCCATAAAATAAAAAAAGCCAGGGACAGAAATGATTTTGCTGAGGTTATCGCCAACCTTCACTGAAGACGGCACCCAAAGAAAAAGGTAATAGTGATAAATGACAAAAAAATTAATAAAACAGAAGAATTAACATCAACGTAAAAAAAGTGAAAAAAATAGAACGCTAGAACTGCTTATTTTTAATATTTATCAAAAAGGAGAAAACACGAGTCTTTGGGATATTAGAATAACTATTTAAAATATTTACGAAGATTTATAAAGATTATTGTAGAAATGATATTGGATTTGACACTGGGGTACAATGCTGTTTTTGACTCGCACATAGACATGTAGATATATATGTAAGATTAGCAGACAAATGAAAGGGATGGAGAGGTTGGTGGTTGAAGGAAAGGTAGATGGTAAAAGATCTCGAGGAAGATCGCCACTCCGATGATCAGACCAAATAAAGTGCGCTACCGGTTACTCTCTGTCTGAGACAGTACACCGCGCCCAGGAGAGAGGCAAATACCATAACTTCATCACATCCTTACGAAGGATAAAGCATCAAAACAAAACATCCTAAGATGTTCAGTGAATTAAAAATAGAATGGCTTACGTCATTTTTATTTTCAAAGTACCGTCTAAGTTGCGTAATATGGTTTGTTGCTTCGGCCGCACTCGGAACATGTATCTCTCCCGCAACTGATGACTCGTCATCTTCATTACTCTCCTGTTTTTCATCACTGTCTTTAAGCACTTCAGCGATGATCTCCGCATCGGTTATTTCAGCACATATTGCAACATCTTGATCCATGTTGGCAAAATCTTCATAAGAGATGGCAGGATCAGAAATGACGTCCCCCAGCAGTCGACTGAAAGCAGCTCTTCTGTTAAAGTATCGTCTGCGTTCCTCCTTTTTTATGAAACCAGCTTTTTTAAAACAGTGTTTGATCGTTTCGGGTGTTACCTTGTCACAAGCTTTCTTAAACATTTGGAATGCTTGGAGAATGACTAACTTTATTTTAAGGGAGTCGTAATCTTCCGTCAATATCTTTTCAACCAAACCCTGGTCCAAAGGCTGGAGAACTTAAGTCTTGTTAGCAGGAAAAAAATAACTTCATCAGTAGGATAGTGTTTGTGCCGTACAGTTGTCAATAAACAAAATAACTTTTTTTTTTCTGTTATAAACTTTTTGTCTAATCTTTCCAGCCATTTCTCGAAAAGATCACTAGTCATCCAAGTTCTTGCACTGCTCACATATTTCACTGGTTTTGAATGACTGAATCCACTGAATTAAAGGAGATTTCGAATTAGCGAAGTTCAAATGAACCAGGTTCCAGTATTCTTAAGATTTATCGTTGTGATCAGTTTCTTTTATTCAACTGCCGTAATACATACTCATTAGTTTTTCTGACAATTCATTCACTTTTTATTAATATATAGATTTACATATCGAAAGTTTTCAATTTTTTACATACATATAATATCAGAGTATATTTTTAATACCGTATAAAAAATACTGAAGACATAGAACAGCAGTCACCGCAAGTTAAGTATTGTCGCACATCTGCCATCTGTCTCTTGTTAATATTATCTAGAACTTCAAAAAAGTTCAAAGTCACAATGCAGATTTAAACAAAAATCAATGCATTTTTGCACTATCCATAATTTTAGACTGATTTTTTCATGAAGCTTGTTAGGGTTATGATTCTTGCTATCCACTATCTATTTTGTCTTCATAACATTTAATTACTAAAGCTGGTAACAGTAACTTCATTGACAACAACATATATTTCTAATTCCTCCCTAATTCATCTAAAAATATAGTTTTAGTATATATGGTACAGCAAAGGCGTAAGTACACAACCCTCTCTCACTCATTTTAAAAATACATTATGATGTCTTTCAATGTAATTTCATTAATTCATACGAAAGCAACCTCATTTGTATACCAATACCAATGACCAATTTTTCTATTGTCTCTTTCATAAAATTCCGTCTTCTTTAGAATATTAATATGCCCTTTCTAATACAGTAGACTCCCTCCATAATGAGAACTGAAATGCCAGACTAATTACCTCGTTATAAGCCAATTTCGTTATATCAAACAACAATAATAGTGTGCTTACATATGAATATGTAGTTTTCTAAAACGTTAACTTCCTATAGTGAAGCCATTCGGAGCAATATAAGATATGCTAAATATTGTTTGAATGGCGGTTTTCTTGGCGGTGGACTTTTATTGTCAACGAAATACGTTAAAACAAAAAAGAGTTCTTTACTCTTATTGCCAATGATACACGTTAAAACAAAAAATCTGTATTCTGTAAATCTGTATAAAGCGTATTTTCAAGGATAACACACTATTACTTCTGCAATTGGAAGAAGTCTGTCATTTATAAAGATGTGAAACAGTTGTATGTTTCTTCATTTGCGTTTTGTCTTTGGATAAAGTTTCTTACAACATTTAAAGTACTTTCCACGTCTTGTCTATTAGGACCTTCTTATTATTAGATGCAAATGGTCAAACCTCTACACTGACACTTTGAATTATAAATTGTAAATTTCCGACAACACAATATCGGTGAGTAGATTAAATAAAAGTTTATTGCGGGCGGCAGTTAAAAAGGGTATTTATTTATAGCCGCGGTCGGGGCAAATACGTAAAACAATACGTTTTTCCATCTTACTTTCTCTTGTTATGACCAAAATTGGCCTCGTATGGAGGGTTATAGTTCAATAGAAATTTCACGGGAGATCTAATGCACCTTGTTATAAGTGAAACCTCGTAATAACCGTGTTCATTATAGAGGACGTATACTGTATGTATATTTGTATATTTGTAATTAGTAGAGGTTATATATATATATATATATATATATATATATATATATATATATATATATATATATATATATATACACCAAATAATTAGTATATAAAATACTTATTTTGGTTTTAATATCAGAAATTGTTTAAACACATTATGCTTCCGAATGCTTTTATTAAAATAATAAAAAGTGTGTTTTTAAGTATGATCTTTCCTATTTAATTGTATAAATTCAACAGAAGAAGTAGAATGAGTACATATAAACAACAGTTTCGTTAAGTCTAAAAATATACCAAGGCCAAAACATTTTTCAAGAAGGTTAATGAATTGTGATAAATTTTCGAGTTTTTCGTACATAACTTCGTGTTAATAAACAAAGTTTGTATTGCCCTTAAATATACGGAAATAATTTTTTATATATCTCACTGTTTTCATAAATGTACAACAATATATTATTTAACAGTCTATAAAAGCTTGTCCCAAATATTGGGACCATCAGTTTGGATATAACTTGACCTTTTCAGACAACATTTTCTTTAATTCTTATTTATAATATGTATAATTATTAATTTAAAAAAAAACGACTTCTTAAAAACAATTCTGTTATTTCTTCGGCTTTTTTGGACTTCCTAGAGGAGATTCCTGTAAACAAAGAGACATATTATATAATTTTGTTAGAAAACATCATCTGGATAATATTTTTTACCATAAAATTGGAAGTAAAATTAATTTTATAAAAACGAAAACTTCTTTTATGTCAATGTACTGTAATAATTTCTTTTCAGTCTATGTTTGTTCATATAGGTTTGTTAAATTAAAAAACGAGTAAAAAATTCTAAAATAACGTGTCGAAAATATTTTGCGTTAAGAGAAAACTAAGACGCAGTGGCGCACCCAGACTTTGTCTGAGGAGGGGGTTTGAAATTTTTTTATGCCATCTCCATTTTGAGTCCCTAAAATTTGGGTTTTAGTTTAATTTAAAGTATTAAAGATACCAGTGCCAAAGATTCAGGTATCTATTATACAGCCTACCAACTAAAACCACCCTCGCTTACTTGTGCGCAGTTGACTGTTACACGTACCGGATTCCGAAAGTGGGGTGACCGCTGTAAGGGTGACGACATTTTCGGAACACTCCTTTCTCTTATCTAGATTTTATCTATTGTTCTTAAACTATTTTATTGTGTCATTTTAAAGTAATTACTATTTTAATGGGAATACGCCACAATTGAAGGTTAAAATAAGTTAATTGACGTTTGACATTATTCACAACTTGTAAATAAAATACATTTTGTTTTGGAGACGGCTATCGCCGTATTTCCGTTCTCCTCCGCCAATCGTTCCGGTCCAAGGCATGCCTCCTTCAAACCTCTCGATTCTGTCGCACTTCTATTTCCTTCATGCCATTATCGTCGAGGTCTACCTCTTTTTCTTCTTCCAGGAGGCTTCCCTGAGAAACTGGCTTCCCAAAGAACTGATTCAACTATGGTTTGCGCTATTATTTTTTTGTTCCTTAATATAAAAGGAATAAGAAGTTCAGAAATTCTCTTATTAATTCGGTGTTTAATTTCGGTTTCTCCCAAGCCGTTCTTAGCAATGAGTGCACCTAAATATTTAACCACGTCCTCGTCTATCACTACTTCAAACCTTGCATCTGAATTGATACCCGCAAAGTTCCTATGGGGATTCCCATTCCCTGATAGTAGTGGTTTTTCCAATTTTGGAGGGCTCTCTTAATATATAAATTAAAAACAGTATATAAATTAAACGGTGATATACTGCATCCTTGTTTTATATTTTTATATATATATATATATATATATATATATATATATATATATATATATATATATATATATATATATATATATATATATTGTGGCTAAACACCCCGTACGGGGTTACGCCGCTTAAGCTCTCTAGATCTATTTTACGAGGTAGATCAGTCTTCATTTTCTTTATTTAATTTTTCTTGTTATTTTTCTCCACTGTTTCCTATCTCTGGTTTTTTCTCTCCATTGTCGTACGCCCGCCCTGTTGAGATCGTTTGTTACTTCTTGTAGCCATGTAGATCTTGGTCTTCCACGTCTTCGTTTACCAGCTGGTGTCCATTCCAATATTGAGAATATTGTCGTAGATGGTCCTGATCTCCATATATGTCCTAGCCATTTTGTCCTTTGCTGTTTTATTTTACAAACTATATCCTCTTTAATTTCGTTTAGTAGTTCATGATTCGTTCTTTGTCTATATTGGTTTTCATTAATTTTTATTGGTCCTAATATTGCTCTTAGTATTTTCCTTTCTAGTATTCCAAGGTCTTCCTCTTGTTTTTTTGTCATGCTAAGGTTTTCGGCAGCATACATCATAGTCGGTCGAATTATTGTTTTATATATTTTCATTTTCGATTTTTTGCTCAGTAATTTATTTTTTAGAAGCTTTTTATTTGCATAGTATGTCTTATTTGCTGTAATTATCCTTTCTTTAATTTCTGTTTCCTTTTCTCCATTGTTTGCTAATAATATTCCCAAATACTTAAACTTTTCTACTTCTTCAAATATATATTCTCCCAGTCTAACCTTTTTGTTTTCATATTTTTTGTCAAATCTCATTATTTTTGTTTTTTCTTGATTTATTACTAATCCCATTACTTTCCCTTCTGCTACCAATTCTTTTAACATACTTTCCATTTTTTTTTCTGTTCTTTGTTATTATCACAATATCGTCGGCATATGCTATTATTTGTCCCTCTCTCGTTCTAAGTGTACCTTTGTTGATTTTTCTGACTATATATTCCAGTGCAAGATTAAACAGAGTTGCAGATAATGAATCTCCTTGACATACACCTTTAATTATAACAAATTCTTCTGTGTCTCCTTCTTGTGTTTTTACAGTTACTACGGTTTTGCTCATTGTCATTTTCATTAATCGTCTTAATTTGTTGTGTATTCTCATTTCTCTCATAGCTGTAAGTAATTTCGCTCTGTTTATTGAATTAAATGCTTGTTGGAAGTCTATAAAAAGCAGTTCAATTTCTATTTTATATCCATAAGCTTTCTCCATAATTTGCTTTACCGTATGTATGGCATCTGTTGTTGACTTTCCCCTAATAAATCCGCATTGATACTGTCCCATGATATTTGTTGTCGCTTTGGCCAGTCTTCGTTGTATTAAGGTTGACATGATTTTATACGCTGTGTTTAATAATGTCAGTCCTCTATAATTATTACACATTTGTTGGTCTCCTTTTTTATGGATTGTGATAATTTGTCCTTTGTGCCATTCTTCTGGCATCTTTTCTTCGTCCCATATGACTTTTATTAATTGGTATTTTTTCATGTCCACCATATTTTATTAGTTCCATGTTTATACTGTCTATACCTGGTGCTTTACCGTTGCGACTACTGTTTATAATTTCCTCAACTTCATCTCTCGTTGGTTTTTCTAGCTCGGTTTCTATCATCGTGGTCTCTTCTTCCACATTTTGATTTAAGTTTTCGTCCTCTTGTACTGTTAATAATTCTTTAAAATAATCAGTCCAGATTTCTCTAAACTCTTTGTAATTTTCTGATACTTTTCCATTTCTATCCTTTATCATCCTTGTTTTAGTCTTTTAATTATTTTTATTGGCTCTGATAGTCTATTTCTAATTTGTAGGTAAGTAGTGTTATCCCTGTATACTTCTGTGATTATTCCCAAGAGGTATGGACTAATGTCGAGTTGTTGTAAAGCTTGCCACAAATTAAGTCTTGAAACTGAATCATACACCTTTTCTAGGTCAATGAAGGCTAGATGTACTTCGGTACCAATCGCTATTCTTTTTTCTACTAATTTTTGGAGTATAAACAAGTTATCAGTGCAAGATCTACCAGGCGTAAAACCACTTTGGTCATCGCTAATTAGATGAATTTATTTTAACCTTCAATTGCGGCTTATTACTATTAAAATAGTAATTCGATCTTATCTCTGTCGTTGGCCCGGTTGGTGTTTCTCTTCATCTTCTTTCTTTTTAATGACTGCTCGGATGTAATTGTGAACACTATTCCATCCCTCGCTACTTCCCGTCACCTGCACTATTATCTCTCTTACAGTCACAGGATTCATACCTATTTCTTTATACATTCTGTTTCTCTCCACTGTACATCTATTACACTCCAGCATTGTGTGAGTAACAATGTCGGAATATTCGCAGTATAGGCATTTATCTGTATCTGTCTTTCAGAACCCATGAAGATACGCCCTAAAACAGACAATCTACCCAGTCTCTTAGACTCTTGCATCTCTCAACATATTGGTCCACTGGGCAACGTCTTCCTTGTTGTTCCACTCTTCTTGCCATCTTTCCATTGATCTTTCCCTTTCTTAGTTTTTTATATCTGTTGTCAAATGCTCTCTTCTTTCATAGAGATGTCCCTTTTCTACTGCTAACACATGCAGAGGAACACAACCAACAAGAGGACTCATAAATTACTCTTCGAATAAAAATGCAAAGGGAAAAAAGACGATCCCCGTGGCAGACTCTGTCTGCACTCCAAATAAGTTTTAATTCAGGGTCCTATAGCCGAGCCTTCAGAACAGTAAGGCAATCTTCGCAGAAGAATCGCCTGCAGTACGGCCACTACAGAAAAGGTAGCTTCAAAAGAAGGAAAAAACTGTCAACATTAGCAATCAAACACAAGTAAACGAGATCAGATATTTGGGATGAGGAATCTTCTTCTTCTTGTAGTTTCTTCTCCTATCGGAGGTTGGCTATCATTACAGCTATCCGTACCTTATTGGCGACTGCTCTAAAGAGATCCACCGAGCTGCAACTATACCACTCTCTTAGGTTTCTCAGCCAGGAAATTCTTCGTCTTCCTATGGATCTTTTACCCTTGGCTTTACCTTGCAATATGAGCCTTAATATCTCATATTTTGCACCTCTAGTAATGTGGCCTAAATATTCCAGCTTTCTTGTTTTGATGTGCTTTATGACCTCGCAATCCTTTTGTAGCCTTTTTAACACTTAACACTTGTTGGGTCCATGATATTTTCAAAATCCTTCTATAGCACCACATCTCAAATGATTCCAACTTCTTTATATTATCCACTTTTAGTGTCCAGCTTTCCATTCCATACAACAAAGTCGAGAACACGTAGCATCTTAAGGCTCTTATCCTCAGATCCAGAGGAAGGTCTCGATTGACAAACATTGTTTTTATTTTTATAAATGCTTGTCTTGCAATATCAATGCGTGTCCTTATTTCTCTACCTTGGTCATTGTTTTAATTTACCCAGATTCCCAGATATTTGTAGTTATTCACCCTTTCTACTTGTTTTCCCTCGATATTTAGCCTTCCTACTATATGTTGCTTGGAAATAACTTGGTCCTCTTAACGTTCATTTGTAGTCCATATTTGACACTAACTTGATATAATTTATTTACTAAGCGTTGCAATGCTTCTAGACTGTCTGCAAAAACAACGGCGTCGTCTGCGAATCTTATGTTGTTTAAGATTTTTTCGTTTAGTGATATATCCTGTTGTTCCTCTGATATTGCTTCCTTAAAAATAGCTTCGCTGTACAGAATAAATAATAATGGGGACAGCACGCAACCCTGTCTATTACCTCTTTTGATTTCTATTGTTTCTGTATCGACATTTTCGATTCTAACCTTTGCTTTTTGATTCCAGTACAGATTGACAATAACCCGTATATCTCGAAGATCCACATTCTTTTCTTTTAACAGTTTTACGAGTTTCTGATGTCGTACTCTATCAAAAGCGTTTTGATAATCTATAAAGCAGACATAGAGATCCTGGTTCGTATCTAGTCGTCTTTGCGCGAGAACGTTGAAAGCAAACAGAGCCTCTCTCGTTCCTAGTCCTCCTCTGAATCCAAACTGGGTGTCATCTATATCTTCTTTTATTTTTTTTGTATAGTCTTCCATGTATTATTTTGAGAAATATCTTAACGGTGTGGCTTATTAAGGAAATTGTTCTGTACTGGGAGCATTCTGTCGCATGTACTGACTTTGGTAGTGTCACAAACGTGGAGAGCAACCAATCTTGGGGTATTACTCCTGTTGTATATACTTTGTTGAACATATCTAAAATTATATGCAGTGTTTCTTCGTCAATGCATTTAATTAGCTCAGTGAGTATCTGAGCCTGGGCCTACTGATTTTGCGGTCTTTGCATTTCTAATTGCCTGTTCTAATTCGCACATTATTATTTTTGGTCCTGTTTGTTCCTGTGGTTCTTCTTGTATTATTCAATTGTCGTCGAATAGTTTCAATATGTATTCTTGCCAAAATCTTAGTTTGTCTTTGATGTCTGTAATGAGTTTACCATTTTTATCTTTGAGTATCCCATAGTGTGCTCGCTTTTTGGTATTTGTTAGTTCTTTTATTCTTTTATGCCTATTAAAGCTGTCATATTTTCTGCCATGCTCTTCTATTTCTATGCATTGGTCTGTTAACCACTTTTCCTTGGCCTTTTTTATCTCTATTTTAATTCTACTTTGTAGTTCCTGATATTTTGGCTCATTTCTCTCTTTGGCTTTTCTCCTCTCTTCCATTAATGCTAGAATTTCTGAAGTCATCCACTTCTATTTTTTATTTGTCTTTTCAGGCTTTAAATTTTCTTCTGCAGCCTTTAGTAATGCCTCCTGAATATTGCTCCACTTTTTATTGACATCTTTTGATGTAAGATTTCTTCTCTCATTTCTGTTAGATTTGAGTTGACTTGTTGGATCACTTTTTGATGTATTTCTTAATTTTGTGTAATCAAACGTTGGACGAGGAATAACTAATGATAAAAAAATTATAATGAATCAAAAGCACTATATAAACATCAGTTATTACAATAAATATATACACTCACAGAAGGCCATCGTTAACAAAAAAGTGTTCCTCGATTCAGAAAATGTAGGAATGCAAATAAACATGGTTTGAAACTCGGTTGATAGAAGCGTTGTTATCAATGTTTTGCGCCATTCATAGAGTCTTCACATCATTTGTCAGAAGTTTGTATGAATTTCGCTAACAATTTGAATATCAGCATCTGTATTGATCGTGTTATAAGTTTTTTATATACATTTAAAACGAGGGACATCGTTTCCATAAGCGGTAATCTTCTATCAGCGTCTATATACACTCACCGGCAAAATTAACGGAACACCTTAAAAATGGGACATGTTAGATGACTCGAATTTCCTAAACCTGTTGTCCGATTTTAGTGATTTTTTTAGTATGTTATAGGTATATTATTTAAGAATATCAATGAAATAATATTGTTGCTAGACAGGTCAACGTCATTTTATACCGGGTGTAACAATCATACTGTGTTTTTTCCTTAAAGTTCGAAACACCCTGTGGAATATTCTAGCATATATAAAATATTGAAATTAAAGCTTAACTATAGTCTCAGGCTTTCTTAACATTGTCTTTTTTCATTCATTTGCTTGTGTTGGATAATAAAAAAGTTAGGTACGTTAACAACTGGCCATGTTTTTCATAAATAAATGCTCATTTTTTTCTTAGTTTCACCAGCATATTTAAAGGAACAACCATAAAATCTGAGTATTTTCTCTCTAGTCTATATACTGTTTAGATAATATCATAATACGAATGTTGGTGAAGTATTTTGAATTTATATTACAATGGTAGTACAATATAAAACCTGTTTAAGAAGAAATAAAACACAAAGATGTCAGACTCAACAAAATACGGATTTTAAATGCATTAACTTTATTGTACAGTTTGAACTTAAATTGTTTTTTTATGCATTTTTTGGCTTTAATAGCGTGTGTTTCCCTACGAGCCCTTACAACTGCAGTTATTCGTCTTCTCATACTTCTGATAACGCTATCGATCAGTTGTTGGGCAGCCTCTCCCATTCCTCAATCTTTTGCAATTGTGACTTCTTCTCTGTTTTGAATAGCAGGAATCCGTGCCCTAAGTTTTCTGCCTAGCAGGTTCCACATATCCTCTATCGGGTTTAGGTCTGGGGAACAAGCTGGCCAATTCATCGTTGTTATACCCACTTGTAATAAGAAATATCTTACACTTACACTCATACACTATAAAATAAAATTTTCGCCAGTATATGGTGAAAAAGGTACCACATGGTCTTGGAGAATATCTCTGATATACTTATCTGCTGTTAATGCTCCACCATCAATCACCACTAACTCTGTTATTGCTCCCAAACATATACCGCCCCACATCATAATTGAACCTCCACCAAAAGGTACGGTCGTAGTAAAATTGAAAGGGGCATTTCGTTCTCCTTGGCGTTAATACAATCTTTCTCTACCGTCGATGTAATTTACACAGAAACGGCTCTCGTCCGTAAAGAGAATTTGACTCCAGTGGTTATCATTCCAATTTTGATGTACTCGACCAAATTGTAGTCGTGCTAAACGATGTTGTCTCTGGAGTCTGGGAGCTTTGATTGGCACATGTGACTTGAGACCGGCTTCTTTAAGTCTCTTTCTTATTGTGCGCTCAATTAAATACAAGTTTGTACTTGTTATGAACAGACAGAATGACTGTAAAATGTAAAACATAATACAAATAAACAAATTAATTTGACATTTTGACATTTAAGACTTTCTTGTGACAAGGAGCTTTCAAAGCTATGTAGATATAGTCTGTAAAATACAAATATAAAGAAATATTGCATTAATAACAGGTTCCTTTAAATTTGCCGGTGTGTGCATTAAATTGTTAACTTCTCATAGCCTACTTTAGGCTTGTTTTTAAACTAAGCAGAAAATGAGGATTTATTGATGAAAAACATGGCTAATTGTTAACGTACCTACCTTTTTTATTATCAAACATAAGCAAATGAATCAAAAAAGAAAATGTTAAGAAAGCCTGAGGCTATAATTAAGTTTTAATTTCAGTATTTTATATATGCTAGAATATTCCACAGGGTGTTCCGAACTTTAAGGAAAAAACACAGTAGGATTGTTACACCCGGTATAAAATGACATTGACCTGTCTAGCAACAATATTATTACATCGATATTCTTAAATAATATACCTATAACATACTAAAAAAATGACTAAAATCGGAGAACAGGTTTAGGAAATTCGAGACATCTAACATGTCCCAATTTTAAGGTGTTCCGTTAATGTTGCCGGTGAGTGTATTTGTTGATCATTATATATTGACAATATTAAACTTCTCCGGAATGGAATTTCTAAATTCAGCAGAATTACAAACAAATAAACAACAAAGAAGTCGTTTTTATAGTTAACGCCAAATTCGAGTGATGGGTGCGCGCTAAAACGGAAGGTTACGGTTAACTATTTATCCACTTTATTTACAAAAAGCTATGTCGTGTCCTGGCGTTCGAACAACTCCCCATATTTATAGCAATTTATTTTTGTATATTTAACTTACCAGATCTAGCTCGTCTAAAGACTCTAGTTTAGCTATTGGAGCTGGTTTCTCTTCCTTGTCTTTTTCTATTGTTATTGAACATTCTGCCCAAGAAAGTTCAGGTCCTTTGTCGAAATCAAAAGCTTTGTTAAATGATGCAAACCTAAAAAGACAATCATCTATTAAATATAAAAAGGTAAATAAGAATACCAAATTAATAATTGTCTATATATATCCAATTATTTGGGATTATATTTTTCAGAGGAAAAAAATGAAAAATATACTTATAAATTAGAGCCTGCGTTACAAACGGCTTTCAACTGGTAGGATAGCTCTTCGTTATTCTTAATTGATTTAGATTATCATTATACTAGCATTCCACCTTTCATATAATTTTTTTGCCTATTTAACATTTACATAATTTATTAGAGTGTCAGCGATTTTAAGTGACTTACCTATGAAGAACTTGGGAATGATGATTTTTTGATATTGGTTTGGGTTCACTAACTGATCTTTGAAATGTATATCTAGTTCTACTGGGATCTATTGCTATATTTTCGTATTCAGGCATCTAGAAACAAATTAAATTTTGTAATAAGTTAATTAAAGTAAACGATACGAAATAAAACTGATACTGAAAGAATTAAAAATTCTCGAAAACTGGAATAAATCTATAAATCTTTACATTCCACATAAAATTGATGATGCGACTAAACTAACGAAATTTGATAAATATTAATTAAAGGATAAGCTAGTTTCAGAAAGAGATTAAGTACTACTAATCATTTACTTCGCCTTCACTAATGAACTTCGGCAACAATAGTGGCATGCATCTATCTATTTGAAGCAGCTATTAGTAATAATGTTATTCACGGATCTTTTTCAGGGGTGTCCAAGTCTGACATATATGCAGAAGAAAGAAAGAGAGATACGAAAACGACAAAATACTAAAAATTAAGGAGGATTTATAAATTCTTAGAATGAAACGTTTAAATTTCTGAAATAACTCAGAGAAAAATATAAAGCTCGCACTAATCTTTTTAGAAATAATGAACGACAAATTATCGGTAATGATGCAGCAATAAAAGCGATTGGAAAAACTATCTGGGTCTGCTGCCAGAGCAAATACAAACAAATAGAGTTCATGCAGTAGCGGATCACCCCAAATCTGCTAAGACCTGAGATACCTTTTATATCTTTTAATCTGTAGCAACAGATGTATCTGTCTCAGCTTAAACAAACGACAATGTATTACGCACCACAGTTAGCGTGTTGCAATCTAGGAATTCACGAATCTAACAAAGAAGGAGGATTCATATAAAAGGTAATAGGTCATAAACAAGGTTAATTTTGTCGCCTGATTAATTTTTCACAAATTATTCACGACTACTCAAACATAAACTGATAGCAAGAGGTTGTAGTGGTTAGTATAACTAATTGGAGTTGAGGAGTTAGTATGAATGATTTCAAAAGTTTGCACGTTTCTCATTCGCGAACGACCCATTTAAAATTCCACAGAAGAAGCAAGTGCACATCAAAAAGATGCTGTATTTACTAAATACTGAATTGAAATTAGGTCAATACCGAACGCGGCGTTATCTAACTGCTCCACGAACTACCTGGGCCCATTAATACCAAGTACCTGCTGCCCCATCGCCAAGAAAGTTGGGGATTAAGTTTTACTGACATGAAAGTCCAAATTTGATTATAGTTAAAAGTAAGAATATAAATATTTTCAGTTCTCCACTTTGGTCGCAAGTATTTCGGAATAGTTTTGTCCGTTAGTGTTTAACTTTTAAATGGCGAATCCAACGACTATGTTTAGTCAAAGGGGAGAACTTTTATTAATAATTATTGAATATAAATATTCAAAGGCCCATGTCTCCAAAGATGGAAAAGTTAGATGGCGATGCATCAAAAAAGGGTGTCAACAAAAAGCGTACACAAAGGAAGGTGATGAAAATTACGTTATTCTTGAAAAAGCGTCGGTGGAGCATAATCATGTCCCAGATATCTACGTTGACCAGCAAATTTTTAGTAATTCTACAAAGAGGGAAGCTGTAGAAGATATATGTGAAAGACCTTTAAAGATTGCCCACCGGGAATTGAGGAAGAAAGAATTTAGCAATTTACTGCTGACGACGAAAAACAACTTTTGCATTCGAAGAAATATCTATGCTGCAAGACGAAAATCTACACCATATTGCCCAAGTCACAAAAAGAAGTTCTACAAGGGTTAGTGAACTTAAATTTAAAAACAAATATAGGTAAAATCTTTTTATTATTTACCAAAAATAATTTCGCAATTTTTAGTTCTTTCATAAATATTTACTTTTTGTGTAATGTAAATGGAAATTTTCAATACTGTTCTAAATATTTTTGTCAAATGTTTACTATACATGGCTACAAAAATGGTTTTTATGTTCCTCTGGTATTTTGTTTGTTAACGAATAAATCACAGCAATCGTACATAAGTATTTTTGATACATTAATAACAATATGTACATATTTGTTAGTTAGTGTGGCCCGACATAGTGATTATAGCGAGCACATTCGAGGAAATGCAAATTATGTTGGGGGAACTAGCAGCCAGCTCCCAATACGTCGGCCTAAAAATGAATACGAAAAAAACAAAAATAATGACGAACACAGATGACCCCAGACATATAACTATAAACGGCAGTGAGATAGAACAAATCCAGGAATATATCTACCTAGGCCAAATCCTGAGACTTGACAAAGAGAACCAAAGTGTGGAAATTACTAGAAGAGCAAGACTAGCATGGGTAGGATTTGGAAAACTTAGTTGAATACTTAAGAACCACAAAATACCCCAATACTTGAGGAGCAAAGTGTTTAACCAATGCATCCTTCTTATCATGACATATGGATGTCAAACCTGGACCTTAATTAAGGCAAACATGAATAAACTAGCCACAACAGAAAGAACAATGGAAAGAGCAATGTTAGGTATACGACTGTCAGATAAAAAGAGGAACGACTGGGTAAGATCCAAAACAAAAGTCGAGGATATAACTGCTAGACAGAAAGACCAACGTTGGAATACTACAATACAACATTGGAGACCTTACGAAAGTAAACGACCAAGAGGAAGACCACAGATGAGATGGATTGATGACATTAAAAGAATAGCTGGAACAAATTGGAAATATGTTGCTCAGGATAGAGACCGATGGATGGAGTTGGGAGAGGCCTATGTCCAAACATGGACGACAAAAGACTAAGACGAAGAAGAAGTGGCCCGACATTATTATTTTTTGAGATTTACAAGAAAAGACTTTTTGAGACTATTTACAAAAAAAATTGAATTTTTTTGAAAATAGGCTATAATACGTTAATCAAAACGTTACTAAATTATACTTCATTAAGTCAGTTTGCAATTATTATACAGCTAACATTTAAAATTTAAAATATAGAGTTCACTCTTACTTATTTTAATCACTAATCAGACATTAGAATTAATAATTGTTATTGTTTACTGTAGATTTTGTTATTGTATAAAAGTTAATGTAGATTTATAACTAAACTTTATTCGATAATATTGGTATAGTTTCATTATTTAATCCTTTAAAATTTTCGCTCATGCTTTGGAATTGGGTTCCTTTTTGAGTACAATAAAGTAAAATAAAAACTATATATGTTCACAAAATATTATCTAAGTACCTAGGTAGCGTAACGAAATTCGTAGTCGCTTTTAATCCTACTATAAAACTGAACCCATTAAAATCTAGGTAGCGTAATATTGGTAAAACAATTTATAAACAAATGAGTGAGAAATGTCATTGTAAATAATAAAATATTTATTATAACTGTCCTTGTAATAGTGGCTTCCCACGATCGGCAATTCTACAGATCATCGCGGACAGCCGATCAGCACGGACGGCAACGCACCGCAGAGAGAGCTCTTCCTACGGTCCGTGACAGTCTGTGTAGGTCCGTGACAGTAGTGTTTGATTATATCATAAAAAGGCCACTCAGGTTTGTAAACATCATCAGCCCCACTTCCAGTTCCCATCGATTCTCCAACTTTTGTTTTTTACCTTCTGTATATCGACATTAAATTATCTCTCTTCTTTTTTAAATCTTTAATCGAAATAGTAATATTCCATAAACTTCGTTCATCTTGATACAAATTTAAAAAATCAAAAACAACTTTGTTTGTCCATTCCATTTTTCAGTAAAAAACTGCAAAACAACTTTGACAACACTACAGACAACTACTCGTGTCAGCGAATGAAAAACTTCTGACTTGCACTTGTCGTCTGTTAAAACACAGACGCGCTAGGATCGCGTCGCACGAGCATGTACCGCACCTTTGATGTTACCGACTCTAGATGGATAGGACGCAACAACACGGACGTGCCTGTGCTACCACGGACGAGACCCTTCCCACGGTGCGTGGTGCGTGCTGGTCCGCTTAGGTCCGCAATATCGCCGACCGTGGGAAGCCGCTATAAGCCGCATATTTAAAAGCGACGAATGTAAACACAAAGCGTTTATATTTTTACAACGTGAGTTCTGTTGCCGACCATCGTAATATAAGTCGCAAACGCGACTTATGTCAATGTCATGTAAACATGTTGAAGTTTGTAATAAAGTAGAAAAGTACCATATGTCTTTCTTTTGGGGAAAATGTCAACTTAACCCTCAGTTAAGCTAGTTAAGCGGAAGCTCAACTCCATAGAGGAGATGATAGCAGAAAAAGCTCTAGCTGATGAAACTATGAACTCATTGATAGGTGAGCTAGGGATAAACAGAAAATAAATTTTTGACCATTCCCAAATCATGCTTTTAATTGTAAGATCCATAATTTTCCCAGTGTAGTTTTCATGTCCATTACAACTTTTTGCACTTGCAAAATTTTACATTTACAACGTTTTGGTGCTAATCAAATTGTTTTTAGTAATGTGTCTATTCAACCAGTGTTTAAAATTTTTATATTTACGTTTATTTAGAATTGTTTGTTTTTATAAAAAAAATTTATGTCCTAAAAAATTCTAATTTTGGCATTTACAACTTTATGGCAATCATCATATTTATGACTTTACAACCCTGCGTGGAGTTTAGCCTCCTCAAGAATTTCTCTCCAATCATTCCTACCCTTCGCCTTTCTCCGCCAAGCACGTATTTCCATATTTCTCATGTCTTCATCGATATTATCAAGGAACCTTGTTCTAGGTCATCCGCTTCTTCTCTGATCAATAAGTCTATCAAGGAGTGTTTTTTAGCTGGGTCATGTGTTCCATCCGAATTACATGACCTTTCCACCTCAGACGTCCTATCTTAATTTGTTTTAAGATATCAGGTCTCTGGTATATTCTTTAAAGTTCGAAGTTGTATCGTGTTCTCCACACTCCATTATCATTCACTGATGTTTTTTTTTCGAAGCATCCTAACATGTTTTCATTATTTTTGTTAGAGTCCAAGTCTCTGAACCATATGTTAGGACTGGGCATAATATTGTTTTGTAGAGTTTTATTTTTGCATTTCTCGATATAATTGTGGATTTAAGGAGGAGAATATGCCCAAAATAGCATCTGTTGACCGTGAAATTCTGCAATTTATCTCTGCAGTAGTATTATTTTCAGTGTTAAGGAGCATTCCCAGGTATACAAATTCGTTCACTGCTTCGATGACGTCGTTTTCTATAACAAGTGGCCGTAGGATTTGTGGTTGCGTGCTTATTTTTATATATTTAATTTTGTTGGTGTTTATTATTATACCCATTTTTGTCGCTGATTTTTTTAATGCTATATACGCCTCTCGTACAGCGTTTTCCGTTCTCCCAACAATATTGATAGCATCAGCATAGGTCAGATTTTGCACTGATTTATTATATAATGAATCAGTGGTTGTGATTAATGACATACGTATTACTTTTTCCAGAGCCAGATTGAACAGTGTACAGAAGAGATGGTTTCCCAGGCGCAGCCCGTTATTTGTTTTAAAAGCTTCAGACAGTTCCTGAATTCGTACTCTACTTTCAACTTTTTCAAGAGTTAGTTTTGTTTAATTTATCAACTCATTTGGTATTCCTAACTCTTTCTTTGAACATTTCTCTTCTATTCACAGAGTTGTAGGCTCCTTTGTGGCCTATAAATATGTGATGAGTATCACTGCCCTATTCAAGTGTTTTTTTCAAAACTTGTTTTAAGGTTGCAATCTGGTAAATTGTCAATTTACCACCTCTGAAACCAGCCTGGTATTTTCCTACTATCCGTTCTTCATATGGTGCCATACGGTGACATAGTACTGTTGAAAATATTTTATACGCTGTATTTACAAGCGTAATTCCTCTGTGGTTAGAGCGTTAAAAGATATCTCCTTTACTTTATGATAATATACACTTCAATGATTCATATTAATACTAATATATAAATCTAACCTCTTGTTTAACAGTCGAAACTTCACTACTACTAGGTTGCTGTTGCGCCTGCAACAACGACAAAATCGTTTTGACGTCAGTCGCTAGTGTTGTCTCCAGGGAATTCACACGTTTTGTCAGATGATCCAACTTGCTATTGATATGCTCCAATATGCTTCTACTTATCACTAAATTATCCGAATGTGTTAACGTCTCTATAGTGGAATGTTGTTGAAGATGAATGGAAGTCGACGATGGTTCTAGCGGCACCTAAAACATAAATATAATGACAATTTTAATAAATTAAAAATATATTTTTATGTTGCATATATTGTATTGTTGACAAACGTATAATGAAAGATGTAAATAAGGTTAGTCTATAAATGTGGTAAGACATTTCTAAATATCAATAAAAAAAAATTGGCATTATACAACCAATACGTAGAAAAGAGATCCCAGAACTACAGGCAATTGCATTGTTAAATGTAAAAATAGGTCAAAATCGGCAGTTAGACTGGATTTAGATTTAGCGGCAGTTAAACTCATTTTACATCAATCTAAGGGTGAGGCAGACCGCTAACTACGGACTACTAACTAACATTTTCAACTAATTCGTGAAACACTCATCGCAAAAGTCAATGCATATGTAAGTCAGTATAAATCACTACATATTCAGATGGTGCAGCTATCATTAGCAGAAGAAAGGAAATTATATTTAAACGAACAATGTAATCAAACGAATTCCATAAATAACAAAATACACGAATTGTTGTTGAAAATAGTATATACTACGCCAATAAAACATGGATGATATCTAAAATAGTTCTGTAACGTATGCATGAGAGAGCTGGGTAATGGCTACTGATTAGAGGAAGATGGATTCAAGATATTTAAAAAAACAATACTCAGAAAGTATATAGTCCTGTACAATAACATGATGATCAAAAACCGATAATATAGATGCTCTTTTTTCCAGTATTTCTAAAATTTACACACCGTTAACTGACAGATTTCTCAAGAATTATCTCACCAGAATTATTAATAAAATTAAAAAATAAATGAGTCCTGATAATTCTGAAGCAAAAAGCATAAATTCATAATCTTCTTAAAATAACTTAAAAGTCTGAAGACTCAAATATCTTTTGAGTGACCATCACTTTTCCGACCGACAGGACAGTCTTCGCCTTCTTCAGATAACGTTCACTTTCGCTAGGTGACAATTACTGTTTTAACTATTCTTTGGTCTCTGATGTGTACGAATGAATCCATGTTTCATCAACGGTTATGAAACGACGTAGAAACTTCTTCAGTTTATGCTTAAACAACGTCAAAGACTACTCTGAAGTAGTGTCACCCATTCAACCTCGGCACCTATTATACCGACAGCTACCTAATGCCCAAAGTTTTGTGCATAATATGACCCACGCAGTTTTTTCGAAATGCCTACGGCTTCAGCTATGTCGCGCGCTTTCAGTAGACTATCTGTCAAAATAAGATCGTAGATTTTTTAATGTTATCCTTCATGGTAGCTATTTTTGGGGCATCTAAGAGTGGTTTAACAAAACCGACGTGCCACCACGTTGAAACTCATTATACCAATTTTTGACGGTTGCCCTCGAAAGGGAAGAGTCACCGTACATAGCATCCAAGTGTTCCTTGATTTCAGAACCTGGATGATGTATTTTAAGGAATTATTAAACGAAAGGGCACAAACACCACTACAACAGCGGCAGCAGCAGGTAGAACAGGAAGGTCAACAACAGGAGCTGTGGGAAGATGGAGAAGATAATGAATTGGCTAGACCTCCAACGCTAGAGGAGGTTCGAACAGCAATCCAAATGCAAAAAAGCCATAAAGCGCCGGGAATAGATAAGATACCGGCAGAACTGTTCAAGCAGGGAGGAACAAATTTGACAGAACAGATGTACCAGCTTATACAAGAAATATGGAGAGAAGAAAAAATCCCACAACAATGGAAGAAAAGTATAATCTGCCCTATTTATAAAAAAGGAGACAAACTGTTATGCCAGAATTATAGAGGCATCTCTTTACTTTGTTCGGGATACAAAATACTCACAAACATTCTTAATCGAAGACTTCAACCCCTCACTGAAAAAATTATCGGGGAATATCAAGCAGGGTTAAGGCAAAATAGATCTACTATTGACCAACTATTTACAGTTAAACAAATACTAGCCAAAGCATGGGAATATGACATAGACGTCTGCAATCTCTTTACTATAATAACAATACTACCTAATATATTACAAGAATTTGGCATACCATCAAAATTAATATGACTAGTGCAAATGACAATGACAGAAACAGAAGCACATGTATGTATTCAAGGACAGATCACTGATGCGTTTATGACAACGCAAGAACTGAAACAAGCTGACGGACTGGCTCCAACACTTTTTAATCTTGTTCTTCAATATGTAATTAGACGGTTGACGGTGAGCAGAAATAACATACTTACAAACAAATCTACCCAATTAGCAGCATACGCAGATGACATAAACATAATGAGCAGAACAAAGACTGCGGCAGAAGAAACCTACGTTCAGTTGAAACAGAGTTCAGAAGTTGTAGGGCTAACAATAAATACAAATAAAACAAAACTACTCATACAAACCAGATCAAACAGACAGGCGCAACAACAACAATTTATAGACGATATAGAATACGTGAATAGATTCACGTATTTAGAAATGGATCTGGTCGAAAATAATGAAGAAGAACCGGAAATAAATAGAAGGCTTATGCTGGCAAACAAAGCCTATTTCACGATGGGCCACATATTCAAATCACGAGACGTACACCGGAAAACAAAACTCCGGGTATATAAAACAATAATCCGACCCATAGTAAGTTATGGGTGTGAAACATGGGTTATAACACAGAAATCTACCAATGCATTAGACTTGTTCGAAAGAAAAATATTGCGTAGAATACTGGGTCCAATAAAGGAAAATAACAACTGGCGAATTAGATATAATAACGAAATATACGAACAATACACTGAACCAACACTAGCACAATACACCAGACTGCAGAGATTACGATGGGCAGGGCATGTGGCCCGCATGCATGAGAACAGAATCCCCAGAAAATTACTAAACGCAAGAATGCAAGGAAAAAGACCTGTTGGAAGACCAAAAAAGAGATGGGAAGACGAGGTAGATGAGGATGCCAAAAATCTCCTAAAAACGCGTTCATGGAAAAGAACAGCAGTAAATAGAGATGTTTGGAGAGGTTTAATGAAGGAGGCCAAGGCCCGGCTTGGGCTGTAGTGCCATTGGATGGATGGATGGATGGTTCCTTGATTTCGCTGCGCAATTTCCCTTTCAAAAACAAGAATCGAGACTGACCGATATTGCTTTTTCCATTTTTCTAAAATGCGCAGACATGCCCGCTTCCACACGCGGTCAAAACAAAAATATGGGTCGAATTCGGCTGAAATTTTGACATTAGCCGTCTACGAGAATGTATTATACGGTAGTAAATTTCTCTTGGGATAGAGGAGACATAGGGTGCTGGGGCTACGTACTTATAGGACCACGTAAAGAAATATAATTCAAATCAGATAATTATGTATAAAATATTGTAAAAGTAAATAGAGATCATAATCCGATATTTACCAGTATTTCTTGGACGTGCGTCCCGCCGGTATCAGTCACATGTGGAGGACTAGGACTGTTGGTGTAGTAACTGGTACTGCTAGAAAGGGGTCCGGAGATGAGCTGCGGTTGCTGAGGCGCGCTTTGTTGTTGCGTCGACGCGATAGTCGTGGCTTCTTGGTGGTGATAAGCCCCAATCGAGGACTGTCTTCGTATTGTGCGTATCCTATGGCTGGAGGGAGGAGTGGACTGTGCTGAAAGACATAATATTAGATGGTTAGAGTTTTATTTCTATATTTTAGGCGTCCTTCTATAAACTAGAACTTTATCTTGTGTTTAAACCATAACTGGATACATAATGTCATTTCGATATTCTCATAGAGCATAATTAACTGATTTAGTTTATTTACTTTGAAAATAAATAGATCAAGATAATATTGATAATTACAAACCAATATATTGAATTGGACAAAGTGTTAATTGATACTTTTAATGTTAACTTTGTTTTTCAAGGAGTAGATAAATTGCGAAGCTGGATCCCCATATTTATTCTTATATTGACATATGATACGACAAAAAAGAAATTGATGTGATAATCAGTTGAGAAAAATACCCAAAGAAACAAACACATAGAACAAAACCTGAATGTAGTTATAATTTTTATTTGGTTTCCCCATCAATAAATAATTATTGTAAGTGTTTGTAAATTTATTCCAGTTGATTCTCGAACATTATTAAACATCCATAATGTATTAAGTTGCCATAATATCTCTTAAATATTGTGGAAGATTATAAGGTTTTCCTTTTAGTAGCCTTATTATCATTTAACTTCACTCCTAGCGGAATTACTGTCGCTCTCTTTGGGCTGTTTTGATTCTAAAGTTGGTCGTGTGATTTGGGGTCTTCTAAAATCTTATATTTTTCTTGTCTGTGTATATAGCTCTCCACCCTCCTAAATTTTCATGCTCTCTAAGCTTTACAATATTCTCAATTATTTGATTCTCCTATCTTATTTTCTGACTTCTTCTGAGTTTATCTATAATTGCTCTATTCTCTTCTCTCTAGGCATACCATTCATCTAAGACTTTGAACTTTGATAAATCTGACGATGTTTTTAAATGAAATCGTAGGCTTCCACGGCCAGAGTCAGAATTATAGTTTATTCGTCTTCCGGGTTTGGACCGTGTCATTTGTGAGTGACCCAAAAGTGGGTTCATCTCGACGTTTTGCTACAATTGTATGTAGCTTCTTCAGGAGAACAAAGAAAAAGAAAAAGAAAAAGAAGACAGGAAGATGGGTAGTTAGCAACGGTAACTCAGTTACTCAACGCAACCAGAGGCAAATACTAACTACCAAGATGGGCATTTGGTCACAGTAACTCAACTACTCAACGCAGCCAGAGGTGAAAACCAAATGCCAGGACAGGGATTCACTTGGTTTTCACCTCTGGCTGCGTTGAGTAGTTGAGTTACTGTGACCAAATGCCCATCTTGGTAGTTAGTATTCGCCTCTGGTTGCGTTGAGTAACTGAGTTACCGTTGCTAACTACCCATCTTCCTGTCTTCTTTTTCTTTTTTTTTTCTTTGTTCTCCTGAAGAAGCTACATACAATTGTAGTGAAACGTCGAGATGAACCCACTTTTGGGTCACTCACAAATGACACGGTCCAAACCCGGAAGACGAATAAACTATAATGATGTTTTTAAAGTTTAAATAGATAAAAGAGATTAAAGAGATAAAATACTAAGAAAAATAATCGACAAAAGTTTATATGTAGGAGAAAGAAGTGAAAATATTTGAACCAAGTGCAAAATAGATCCGGTTAACATATGGAAACAAAATGAAATAAACATAATATTGAATGATGCAAAACTGAAAAGTGATAATATCTTGAGACAAGTCACAAAAGCATTGTGGGACTGTTTAAAATAAAGCAAAAAGTGGACAGGTACTTTGCCTATTAAAAAGAATGAACAAGTTCAATTATAATAATAAAACATTAAAAACTTTGTTTTTAAAACTTTTACAAACTTTATTAAAATATTTTATTACTACAGCTCTTTCGGCATTTATAGTCTTTACGAAATAGGTTAAGGAGGGGAGAACTGTTTGTCTCAAGTTGGTCATTCAGAATTATGTCTGTGTTTTTTAATTCGTTAATTTCCATAGATACTAATAAAGATAGATTAAGGCCTTTATTTTGGATGTGAAGAATTTGAAATTTGTTATTAAAAGAATGAATTTGATCCATAAGGTGAAGTGCGTATGAAGAACCTGTTTTCCTATTAATGAAAACCCTTTTATATTCCGCTATACGTTTGTTAAAGGTTCCAACAGTTTGACCGATGTTAATTTTTGGGCAGTCGCCGCATTTAAGTTTGTATACATCACTGTGTAAGAGCTTTTTATTTTGGCGCTTGTTACTTTTAATATATTTGCCCAAGTTGTTGTTTGTTCTAGAAGCTGGTGTTTTCCCTTTCTTTTTTGCTTTTGGCTATTGCTGTTTTTATTTTGCCTGTATATATAATCGAGCAAAAGGTATTGGATGTTTCTCTGGTGGTGGAAATACTAGTTTCAGGGAGTCTTCTGTAGTTTTTGATTTAAAATTTTATTAATTGTTTGTTCGTTGTACTCATTGTTGATAGGCTGCCAGTTTATGTTATGTAAGATGGGATGATGAATTGTGTATAGTCGTGTCAGTATGGGTAGGTTTATGAAATACGGAGAACTTGTGTTTATTTTTAAGTCTAAAGATTTTTAAATGTAAAAATTAATGGATTGATTTTGTTGTGTTTCTATTGTAAATTGAATATGAGTATAAAGTGAATTAATATACGATACAAATTGATCACGTTGTCTGTTAGTTCCTGTAAAACATACCAGTACATCGTCTACGTATCTTCGCTAATATAAAAACTGTTTGAATACGGGATGTTTTGCTATTTTGCCATTGCTATCAGACATTACCCATTATAAGTCCTGCACTATTATTTGTATATATTTAATTATTAAATTCAAAGTAGTTCTACTCAAACTACTTTGAATTTAATAATCAAATATATACAAATAACCCATTGCTATCAGAAATTTTTATGCATCACCTAGAGACAAAGATTTCAAAATATCCGTATTCAAACAGTTTTTATATTGGTGGAGATACGCAGACGATGTACTGGTATGTTTAACAGGAACTAACAGGCAACTAGATCAATTTTTATTGTATATTAATTCACTCCATAGTCATATTAAAACAATAGAAACAGAACAAAATCAATCCATTAATTTTTTGGATTTAAAAATCATGAGACTTAAAAATAAACATGAGTTCTCCATAGTTCATAAACCTACCCATACTGACACACGACTATACACAATTCATCATCCCATCCTACACAACATAAACTGGCACTCTATCATAGCGAGTTATATAGATTAATAGAAATTCCGATGTCAAAATACAACTTTGAGACAGAATTAAATATCATTAAGCAAATAGCAGTAGACAATGTGCAAAAAGAACAAAAAAAATTAATAAAATTTTAAACCAAAAACTACACAAGAAAGCCCTGAAATTAGTATTTCCACCACCAGAGAAAAAAACCTGTACCTTTTGCTCGATTACATATACAGACAAAATAACAACAAATATAGAAAAACACATAAAAAAGAAAGGAATAACATCAGCTTTTAATAAAAAGCACTTACACAGTGGTATGTACAAACTTAAATCCGCCGACTGCCCAAAAACTTACATCGGTCAAATTGGTAGAACCTTTAACAAACGTATAGCAGAACAAAAAAGCAGAACAAACGTATAGCATTAATAGAAAAACAGATTCTACATTCGCATTTCATCTTCTAGATTATAATTATTCTGAATGACGAATTTCAAATTCTTTACATCCAAAATAAAGGCCTTAAGCTACCTTAATTAGAATCTACGGAAATTAACAAATTAAGAAATAGATATAATTCTGAATGACCAACTTGAGACAAATAGTTTTCCCCTCCTCAACCTATTTCGTAAAAACTATAAATTCTAAATACATCTAAAAATATATCACTTGAGAAAGGCACTCGTGATAAAATATTATAATAAATTTTGCGGACGTTTTGAAAACAAAATTTTCAGTGTTTTATTGTAATATAAAATGAATTTCCATCAAGTAACGGTTAAATCCATCACTAAAGTTTTAAATTGTTTCCAGTTGAGTTGTTTCTGCATACATATCATCTAACCGTAAGACTTTATGACTTTTCATAACTCAAATTGGATTTGAGTTTTCCGGTTATCATCGAACATATTCTTCTGCTCTATTTTATGCATCTTAGCAGAAACTTGCATTTAGTAGTTTTTCCACTGTGTCAGTACTTTTGGGTGGTGATTGTCTTCTACCTCCATTTTCCACTGTTTTTTCATTGCAAATTGTCATCTATCTAGTATAGCCACCGATAAATATAGCCACAGAAGGTTAATATCCTTGGAAATACAAAGCTAGAGAAATGATTTGAGCTGTTAACATTTTCAAAAGTTAATATTTTTGACCTAATTGTTCAGGAGGCGGAGGAGGAGTGTGGCATAATGGTGGAAATAGTTCAGAATTTTTTTAAGACATCAATCCTATACCAATATTTGTTGGGAGCTAGTTTCTTTAGAGCAACTCTAATTTGTTTTCTAACATATCCAGTGTAGGGTTATTTTCATCTAGGTTTGATCAAACACATTAACCTATATTTTTTCAAGTTTGAAGTGTATCAATCAGATCTACTCTTAGATCATTTTTGGTTAGATTTTATGTTATACGTTAATTTTCTTATATTTATAAAAACTATCGTAGAGTTCATAGACATTACAAAACGATAAACAATAAAATGTTGACATAAAAGTTTTTTCTGACGGATATAACATTTCTAAAACACTATTGGACTTCTATACAATCGTGCATCTAAGACACATATCTACGAAAACATGTAGGATGGATAAAAATTGTGTTTGTGTGTCTGTTAGACATGCACGTAGGGGATGACATGCTGGCATCTATAGACAAAAAAGTTAGTCTCATTTCGCAAATACATACATTCATAACTGGCAGTACAGTGACGTAAGACTGATAGAGGAACCAGATACCTAGCTAACAATGTCTAAAAGCAATTTTGTTTTTATTATCACATTTTGAAAGGTCATAGTAAACATCGGTGGTACCCAAAAATATTTTTTATTCAAAAAGATGGCAAAACTGTTTTCTTGTGGTATA